TGCTGGAATTGTTGCATTTGGGCTTGCATTGCCCGCATGCATTGCATCAGGTCGTCAAACTGGTTCTAGCGGGTCGCCAGGGGGACAACAGTTGTTTCGATAGGGAGTGGAAGGGGGATGCTCATGGCGGGAAGGCTTACGGGCGCCACTGTTTGTGGCGCACTCAAGCAAGGGATCCCATCCACCGGAAGGGGGATGGTGAACTGCCTGACGCACACCACAGGGACCTGAAGTTGTTCCCCGGTGGTGTTTGTCTCCGTGCCATGTCCGGCATTGCTGGAAGAAGCCATGAGTGTTGGAGCTTTTGGAGAAAAGAGATTATGAGAGTTTAGAGGGAGGCTTTTAGAAGCGTATTCCGACAGACGGTGCCAATTGATGGAGCGCAATCCGACTGGTCCTAGCTATCAACGATTCTGCCTCTGGGCGGAGATACGGGGAACCTGAAGCAGAGAAGATGAGGAAGCTCCGGGGGGAACACGGTATGAATGCTCCGAAGCTCAAGTTAGAATTCTCTCAAAGGCAGGACAAAACCAGATGGCGCAACGTTCACATACCTTGTCCTCGGGGGTGAGGAGCCTTTTATAACCACCTCGCGCACTCACTTCTAAGCTTCTGTTAGGTCGGGTATGATACGTTTGTTCAGCTCGGCGTCCTGGAGGCGAAGTGCTGGAGTGGTGAACGAGGTGAAGTCTTGAATTCGGATAGGGGAGTGTCGAACTGCCATGAGGCGGGCCAGTTCGGGTCACTACCTTGTGTGAGGCTCGGGGCCTAAAGGAAAGTTCGGGCTCCTAGTAGGGAGTTCGAACTGCGGGTTCCTCCCTTTGGTGCTCGCGCCTTGGGCGTGCTGCTGTGTCGAGCTGTTCGTCTTTGACACGTGGAGTGATTACGAGGTCGGGCCAAATCTTCCTTCATCACAATCCAATAAACACTTTGGATCATTAAGTCTGGACGGGTCTAATTCAATATGTATTGTTGGTCTGTCCAATCCGTACAAATTGATTTTGGTTTGGATGGAGTCCAATCCAAAATCGGTCCATTGACACCCTACCTATTTCCAAATTTCCGGATTTTTACCCAACAGGGCTTCGTTGCTTCACAACCCACTGGACCCACTGGGGGGATTGTACCAGATCAAGATGCACGTGAGGGACCACTGACTTTACCTGTTCCCCCTGCCCCGCCTCATTGGTCTTTAACGGACTGGAGCCGGTTTTGGTTGGATTCGGACCAAAAGCATTAAAACGACCAGCTACCCACGGTCAACTTATAAAAGCTCTCGGCCACTGGATTTTCACCATTTGATTGTAGTCCTGTTCTTTTGATGTGGAGTAATCCAACGGTATCGGATAAATAATACGTAGTCTTCACTAGGACACCAAACACAGGAAAATTCTAATTCAATGTAGCTCTCACTCTCTCTCAGTCGCTTCTGCTCCAGAGCTCCAAGCCGTCAAAAGACTACATCAGACCATCACTCCTCCACATCGGTGCGCCATTAGTACGGATTCGAAGTTCTTACTTGTTATTAATGTTGTTTGATTGAAGATGCTTTGATCGTAGTTTCAGAAGTGGAATTCGTGGAATGAAGTTTCGAACTTCTCGAATTGTTGACAGTCTAAAGGGTGTATCTGCGGTTTGATCGGACAACATGGCGTGGGAGCTGCTACTCTGGTTAATCTCTTTCTTTGTCTCTATAGCCCTCCTCGCACTGGTCATTTACCAGGTATCTCCGACTCCTATAATCTAGTTGTCTTCTTCTATTTCTTCTTCTTCTGGTTAATTCACAGCTGTTTCTTCTCTAAGACTAATATTTTGCTTGTTCTGTATCTTCTGCAATTCGTCTTTTCATAAATTCACATAGAGATGCCCTTTTTTTTATAAATTTAAAATTTAAAACAATTTTTGCACATGTTTTGCTCTGGTTGGATGATTGTTGTTGATTTTGCCTAGGATAGATGAAATGGAATATGCTATCGTAGTGAAAAAAAGAAATGGAATATGTTAGGTATAAGTACTGATTGCTTCTCTTTTTAGCACTCTCTGATGAAAAGTTCGTGTATAACTTTGCTCTTGATTTTTAGTCTTCAGAGTAAATGTGGATTTTAGAGCCGAGGTAATTTGATTTCATAAAAATTATTGGGTCCAAATTCAATAAATTCTGATTGCGTGCTTTCTCTATATTGTTTATCATAAAAAACGAAGTATGGAGCCACCATCTGTGCTGAGATCCCCTGTCAGTTAGTTGTTGCAGTTGTACTGTTTAGTTATCACCGAAGCTGGTGGCTATCTTCATATTTGCTCTGGTTATGATTATTCTGATCGCGCATGTGCTTCACGTTAAAAGTTGCAGACTAGGCTTTATGGTTGGAGAACTTCAGTTATTTATGTATTTGTGGTTATTGAGCTTTATCTATTTGGTGTTTCATCATTCCATGCTGTTGCATTTTTATATATAACATAAAAGAATTTGTTAACAAGCTGTCAACTAGCAATTCGGAACATCTGAAATGTTCTTCATACACATCTCATGAAAAAATGGAGAAATTGAAAGAATGGTAGGATCCATCTAATGGACGCCATAAAGGTTGCGGAATGGGTGGGGCGAATTTCAAAAATTTCCTACCTTCTCCCAACTGGGAATCATATTCCCTGAATTTAGAATACAATATTCAAGGATCTACTTGAACCCTAATCAAACCAGATCTGTACCAAAAGATA